ATATGGATAGGGGTGTTTCCCAAGACATCAATACCAGGCCCACAGTCCTGGGGCCCTACTTCTTTTGTACTAAGCACCTGCATCTCTTTACCCGAAGGCTTTCTCCAGAGCTGAGAAAGGATCTCCTGCCCAGGCACTGCAGGCTGGATATGCTGGAGAATTAATACCACTCTTTCTCTCAGGAGAAGCTGTCAACCAAAGTCTGATGAAAGGTGGGTGTATAAATACCCCAGCTCCCTCACTACCTGAATGAGATAACGTTGAGGTGTGTTCTACACTGTTAAGAGTTCCCAGCAAAATTAAGCTCTGGTTGCTCACAGTGGTAACATGCCTTTGATTGGTTGTCTATCTGTCATTGTCTCGCTGTCCCACTTCCCAACTCCCATACTTGGGATTATCTCAGAAACAAACAACTTGTACTTGTGTCTGTTTCTGGGACTACTTCTGGAAAACCCACATTTAGAAAAGGAGAGTTAGGAATTTTGCACTTTTCCCTCTCTCTATTTCAACAAAGATTTGTTTTTCCAGAAAAGAACTTAAACACATTTGGATGAATTTTTCCCTAAATCATGGCAATAGTCTGTATGGACAATTTGTGGTGGAGTTGCAATCTAGATAGCATTATGGAACTGCTCACTCCTGAATGCAGGTTGGGGAACTGCCTTTGCTCCTTGTTCATGATGCTGAAGTTGATCCAACATCATGAGAAGCCCCTTGGTTCCCACTTAAGAGCTCTTTTTCTCATGTCCATATTGGCAGAAGATTTTAAACAATCAGCCCACAAACTTTTCTCCTGGAAGAGAACAGACATTCTTTTGGAACTAAAGAACTCCAATCATTAGACTATTGGCCTAGCAGAGCACTGAAATGTAATTTGAAAAACTAGAAACATATTTCTTTATCAATAATAAAAAACCATGGCATCAGTGCTGCTCATGTCTTTCAGCCAGGAGCTACTGTAGAAAATACAGCAATCTCATGAATAATGTAGTTTTCTCAGGCCACAAACATGGCAGCAGATAGGAGGTCTGTTTGCAAGGGCAAGAGCCTACAGCATGCATTTGTTGCTCACATGTGATTATCAAGGCTGTGTCACTAATGAATTCTCATTAAAGAAAGTGAAATATTTACGGTAAATTCCCTGTGGTGTTCAGAACTTGATGCTCTTCTTGGACTCCTTTGTTTCTCAAAGTGTCCCTTGGTGCCAACGTCAGAGACAGAATGTTTGAATGGATGACCTAGGGTCTGACCCAAGTGATGCATCTCTCATGTTCTTATGTCTGCTGTTGATCCAGACGAACAGGCTGATGCACACAGGAACCCACTAAGCAGTTCCTCAAGAGGATCCATGGAAGTTACAAGGAATGCCCATTCTTGTTCAATGCCCTCAGAAAGGATGAGATTGCATGAAAAACATTTCTAGAAAAAAATGCACTTGAAGTAGTGCTTTCGGAATGTAGTAATTCCCTACAGGAATCTACATGGAAAGTTTTTAATCTTTAAGCATTTATTTTATAGAAGGTGAAGTGTGCATGCTAAATGGCTGGAAGTTTCAAAATCAGTGACATTTTTTAATGTTAACTCGTCAAATTTCAGAGCTGGAAATAACCTTTATGGTTCTGTTGGTTTATAGATGGGAGGATAATAACAGAATTTCACGAAAAGCACAAAAGTTTCCCTCTGCTTCCCCTCTTAAAAACTGCTCTTTTTCTTTCCTCCTGGTGTTGTTATTCCATGACTGCCAAGTTTAAGGATAGAAGATTGGTCTCATTCATGTTCATTGCTTGACTGCTAATGATTGACTGATAGGCTGAGTCTTGGATGGGGCTCAGTGTGCCAGAGCATCTCCATCTATTAGCAATGTCTACGATGGTTAGGGGAATGGGAACAGGGACACATGTGCTCCTTATCTCCCTATATTGAAGCTTTGCTAACCAGGTCCTAAAACGAAAGAATAACTGGCACTCCTCGGTCCTGGTAATAGGGATTCCTGACATCATTTTGTTTGATCTGCACCTATTTTAGAACATAATCCATTTAAAAGGGGGAGAATTACTACTAATCCATCTGCTTGAATGTATTTGGTATCTTCAGGGAATTTATTGAGACATCTTTAATCTTTAGCTCGAATTCTAGTTTATGATAATGAAATAAATATCTAAGAATATGCGTAGCCGTTGTAGGAAGACGTAAATATGCAGACAAAATATTGATTAGCTCAGCTGGAAAAAATACAAGCTGTGTTTACTGCTCAGTTTTGGTCTCGGCCACCTCTGGCCCCTCCTTAAGGGGAAAATATAGATGTTAACTGCAGGAAATCATTTTTCCTTTTATGTTACCATATATTCAATATTTTTTGATCACTTACCTATAATTTTAGGTCTAAGCACTAAAGAATCTGCAAATTACACCTGAAACTCTTTTAAGGATAGATTTGAACTCGATAATTTTTTGTTAGATCGCTAAGTTTGTGCATCCAAAGTTTAGATTCCAAATATCAAGGCTCCATCTCTTGGACAACATCTGCCTCTGAATATGAACAGAAATTAAGAAAAGAGCATAATTAATTCAAACCAAAAAAGTAATTCAGTTGTTCACTTTTCTCCATTTCCTTGAACTGTCACAGGGCTCTGGTAATGGCACATTATAGCTCTGAATGAAACATACTAAGTGCCTTTTGCTTCAACAATGCGCTTTGGTGTCCAGCTAGGATTTTGGGTTACAGATCAAGAACAGGAACTGATGACATGAGAGGTATCTTAGGAAGGGCACTGTGCTGCCTTGTAGATAGCAGAAGAAGACCCGTCAGAGTTTAGAGCAAGCAAGATCAAAGCAAGAGAATTTAGAATCTACTTGATGTGTATCTAGTATTTTTTTCTTTTTTCTGAGACAGGGTATCACTCTGTTGCCAAGGCTGGAGAGCAGCAGCTCTATCATGGCTCACTGCAGCCTCCAACTCCTGGGCTTAAGCAATCCTCCCACCTTAGCCTCCCAACAGGTATGCATTAACATGCCCAGCTATTTTTCTTTTTCTTTTTGGTAGAGACAGGGTCTTGCTATGTCATGTAAGTTGGTCTCAAACTCCTAGCCTCAAGCTATCCTCCCACCTCGGCCTCCCAAAGTGCTGAGATTACAAGCATAAGCCACTGCACCCGGCCTATAAACATATTTTTATTATATATTTGACTTCATGGATGATGGCTGAGGAGATTCTGGATTCTGTCATCTTCCTCTGAAAAGTGTTGAGTTTTGTTCTAATAGGAAGTTGAATTATTGGAGGATTGTAATTACTAGCCACAAAACCAGAGGTGGTTTTAGGTTTTAAGCTTTGATTGAATTACTGGCGGGTTATCATCTGTGGTAATTTTAGGCCTGTTTTAAGTGTGCCCTTCGTCCCGAGATGTGGTCCGTATAGGCTTTCAATGGAACATCTGAACTGTTTATCAAGCCCCTTTAACTTTAGAGGCTTGCAATTCTCAGTTTGTCTCCCCAGTGCCAGGCAGCAGCTGACATACCTGCTTTAAGCCTTTCAGCTGTTGTTTTCCCTGGGCCGCGTGGAGTCATCTCCAAGCATGTGAGGGTCAGCGGTCAGTCATGGACCTGAGGGAAATTTATATGTCTACTATAGGGCTCTCCCTCTTTGACTCCTTTCTTTCTGAGATTTCCCCCAATTTTCAGCTGCTCTGGGATCCAAGCTCTAGTCTCTGATGCCCCAACTGAATAAGACTGCTGCTTTCTGCCTGAGTTCTATCTCTCATATGCTGCACACCTGGGGGAGGTTTCAGAGGAGAAAAGCTAACTGCTACAGCCCTTTGTCAGTGCAGTTTTCTTCTGAGGTTCATATCCCCTCCAGTCTCTACTTGCTTTCTTCACTTTCCTCTGGAATATATTCTACATCATAAGCGGCTGCAAATCAAATTCACATTAAAGATTCCCCAAACTCGCCCTTAGCCACATTAAGTCCTCCATGGAACTTATGCTGCCTGGAGTCACGGTGTGGCCTGGTGGTAAATAACAGCTTAGGGAAAGTAAAGGTCGTTGGGATGGGCTGACAAGCTAGGATGGAAGGCCTGGGAGGTGACCTAATTGCATGCCAACTTACATAGATAAACCCAAAATCAGACAGAAAGAGCAATCAGAACAGTAGGAGATTACAGCAAGAGACGCTGCAGCCTTCCAAAGCTCTCAACTATAAATATTTCAAGGCCAAGTCATCCCAAACAAGCATCTGTGGAGGTTCTAATGTCTCTGACAGGTGATGCCCCAAGGCTCAGAGGCAAGAACGTGTGTTCGAGGCAAAATGATATTGGAAACCAGTTACAGCCAAGAAGGTGAAATTGTGTTCTACTTTCCTTTAGAATCTATGGGATCTCTTAGATGTTTCCTGTAAGTGTCAGATTTTGATGTCCCATGTGAAGTTGCCAAATTGAAATTCATGGCAGCAGCAAGGTAGGTGTTTAATAAATGCTTTTCGAGTATAGAGAAACTTGTGAAGCTTTATGAAGAGGAAAGAAAAGTGGGCAGAAAATAAAACTTTTGACCAAGTCTGGCCATTACATAAAGTACCTGAGTATCAACATTTACTTTCTCTATGGAAGAAAGTGAAAATTTGGCTTAGTTGTTGAGTTAGCTAAGACCAAAATGATAAATACTATAATTTATGTTCCAAGCAAGGAGGAAAAGTGGACATGAAGTAGGAGGAAAATGTTTCACTTTGTTTTTAGGTTAGAATGCCATCATATCACCCATCGTAAGTCAATTACTCCTTGTTCCCCCTCGGAACCTACGAGTTTGTCTCATCGGCACAAAGATTGTCATCTTTGTCTTTCCATGTACTTATATATGATTGCAGGGTTGGTTGGAGTTGAAAACAGATGAAAAGAGATCCATAAAATACAATTATTACAAGACAAAATAATGCAAGAGGTAGTGGTAGCAACATCCACTCTGTGATGTAATAACCTTGGTCATGATGTCACAGAGGCCTCATGCAAACGTATACATTTACAGTCGTGAGCTAGGACAAATTTCAGGCCCACCTGAGTCAAAGGCTGATCAAAGATACTAATACCCACTCTCCAACCTTCCCAGCTGAGGAGTGGTTTACCAGGTACTTGAAGAAGCTGCGTTGCACCTCACCGGGCTGTTTGAGTTCTTGTAACGATGTTTGAGTTCATGTAGTGGGTGGGGTAAAATAACTTAGCAGAATTTTCAAGGATGGAAACGAATTTAATATCATTACTTCCTTTGATCTTTTCTCCTGTATTATATAACTTTGAATTTCAGGGCATTTCATATAGATTTATGGAGGAAAAGTTATTAAAATAAATTCTTTTAGAAAACGACCCTTTCAATGTTTGAGACAATTTTTTATCCAAATAATATTGTATTCGATGAGAGACTCCAATATTTAACTTTTCTTGCCTAGCTCACATAAATATGATCAGACTGTCAATCCTAACTCATAAAATCTCTGATCTCCTAGGTAACGCTAAGATGAGGAGAGAAGCAAAAGAGCTGCTTTTGAATCTGAAGATGGAAGCAGCAAATCCCATGGGGATCCTGAATGAGGAGAGGAGGCCCGGCCTAATAGCTTCCAAAGGGGCGACTGAGTATCCACAGCTGGGAGACTGGTGAGAGCGGCATTTCCTTCCACCGAGTCTATGACACAGAAGCAAATCGAGTGACTTATTCTCAACAATTTCAGGTAAATGGTTCTTTCCAAGGATACAGGTTCCTTTGAGAAAGATTCAAAGACCAAAGTGACTCTGATCCCACTTGCATCATGTAATGAGCTCTTCAGGGACACAGGTGTTCACCACACATTTCCCCGTCAATATAACTCAAGGGTTCAGGGTAGAGTTGCTACATCCACCATGTCATTCTTCAGCTGGCGGAGGGTAACAGGGACTATTCAGCACAGTCTTGATCTCAGGAGTTTACAGCCCAGCTGGGAAGCCAGCTTCCAGCACACACACACACAAATGCACAAACTGGAGGATGATTGAAGAAATCAAGCTATATCCCTAAACATTTATGTATGTATGCATACATCCATGTGTATACATGCACGTAAATATGGGTATGCATGCGTCTATGTGTGTGTGCATATGTACAAACATATGCATATGTAAGCATATAGGTGTATATGTGTAATGGACTGAATGCCCTCCTCCCCAAATTCATATGTTGAAATCCTAATCCCCAATGCGATGGGGTCTTTGGGAGGGTGGAGCCCTCACCAATAAGATTAGTATCCTTATAAAAGTCATGAAAAATTAGCTTGGCATAGTGGTATGCAACTGTATTCCCAGCTGCTCAGGAGGCTAAGGTGGGAGGATAGAACCACTGCACTCCAGCCTGGGTGATGGAGCGAGACCTTGTCTCTAGAAGAGTCATGAGAGAGTTTGTTTCCCCTTTCTGCTCTCTGTCATGTGAGAATACAAGAAGAAGTCAGAGGTCCGTCACCCAGAAGAAGGCTCTTGCTAGAACGCAACCATGCCGCCACCCAGTTCTCAGACTCCCAGCTTCCAGAACTGTGTGAAATAAATTCCCGTGTTTATAAACCACCCAGTATGGTATTTTCTTAAAGCTGCCAGAACTAAGATAGTATGTATGTATATGCATCTGCATAATAACCATTCTAAGCATAGTGGCTTAAGACAACTGTAACATTTTATTGTTATGTCTCACATTTTTAAGGGCTGACCGGCCTCAGGTAGGTGGTCCTTACAATTGCAATCATATGCTGGCTGGACCTGGAAACGTGAAGGCTCAAACACTCATTGCCTGTCTGGCCTCTGGGCTAGGGGAACTCAAACACCTGGGAGCTGGAACAGCTGGGGCTCCCTGGCCTCTCCAAGTCTGTGTTCTTGCCATGTGGTCTTCTCAGCTTGGAGACTTCTCACATAGTGGCTCAGAGCTGCACGTGCACATGTCAAGAGAGTGCCAGAAGGAAATCATACAGCCTTTTATGATCTGGCATAGGAAGTCACGCAGAACATTTCCACTGCCTTCTGCTGGTCATGGCGGTTACAAAGATCTAACCATTCTTAAAAGGAGGGGGAAGTGGACCCTATCTCTTCATTTTTGGTGGGGGAGGACAAGATTCTAGAAGAGTATGTTTTCTTGGAGTTCTTGCTATGGTCATTTGGGAAGATGCAATCTGCCACTATTTCTTCCTACCTGAACTGATAGCCATAGCTATAACCATATTGATAACAATTGATAGCTATTAATATGGATCAGACAGTGAGTGGGAAGTGAGGTCACGAAGGAAGGTGTCAGTGTGAGCCAGCACAGTGAGTAAAGGCTGCATGGGGCAAGTCAGGCTTGAGTGGAGCCTTAGAGAAGGACTGCAGGAGGCAGTCCAGGTGGACAGGGAAGCAGAGACAAGGTGTGGGGGTGGGGGAGGAGCAGAGCCATCCAGAGTTTGAACGAGGTGGTGGCTCTTTAATGCTGCGGTCCCCAACCTTTTTGGCATGGGGACCCATTATGTGGAAGACAATTTTTCCATGGACTGGTGGGAAGGGAGGGGGTTGGAGATGATTCAAGCACTTAAATTTATTGTGTACTTAATTTCTATTATTATTACATTGTACTACGTAATGAAATAATTATGCAACTCACCTCCATGTAGAATCAGTGGGAGCCCTGAGCTGGTTTTCCTGCAACTAGACTGTCCCATCTAGGGGTGATGGGAGATAGAGACAGATCGTCAGGCATTAGAATTTCATGAGGAGTGTGCAAGCTAGATCCCTTGCATGTGCAGTTCACAATAGGGTTCATGCTCCTATGAGACTCTAATGCCACCACTGATCTGACAGGAGGCACAGCTCAGGTGATAATGTGAGCCATGGGGAGCGGCTGTAAATACAGATGAAGCTTTGCTCACTCGTCCACCACTCACCTCCTGCTGTGCGGCCCAGTTCCTAACAGGCTAAGGATTGGTACTGGTCCATGGCCTGGGGAATGGGGACCTCTGCTTTAATGCATTTCTGCTTGAACAAACAGCCAAGGTCTCCAGCAGAAACAGTAGCATCTCTTAATATGTTAATATCGTTGTTCCCATTGCATGCTCTTTCCTGATCCTCATGAGAACTCGAGAGCTCTGCGTTTCACAGAGTGGGAAACTGAGGCCCAGTTCACAAAGTAAGGAGATCCACTTGATCTTCTGAGGCAAGTGTCCTTCCTTCTACACCACAGCAGCCTCTTCAGAATCAACATTAGACATGGTTTAGCTCACATTTCTCCCCAGGCTCAAAGGGGAAAAAATGTGCCTATGCAAACCCTAACTTTGTTTTTATCCAAAAGAAATGACTGCACCTTGCAAGCATCTGCAAGACCATGTGGAATTGCATTAAATTTCACAGTACATTAGAACCCAAAATGGGACCCAAGACTAAAATTGGCCAACTTCCTAATTAGCCTTTTACTAAGCCTCGGGCTGGAGAAACACGACCCTGGAGGATGTAGCGTCTGGGATTTTGCTCCTCATTGCAGGCCTTGTGGTAAGTATCTTTCTCCAGCTAGAGCTTCCTATTTAGATGAAATGGTCCTAGCCCTTTCTACCCAAAAAGGGACTGGTTTGGAGTTCTTGCCTTATTTAAGTGCCAGAAATGTCTACTTGTGTCCCAACATTTGTCATGGGCTAAGAATGAGCTAGGAGCTGACTCAGATTCTCCTGTTGCCTGAGATACATCCTGATGGAAAGCATGTTGGCACCTTTTGTAGGAACTCTTTCTATGCCCCAGGGCCCCTTTTCCACATGTGTACATTTTAAGGCCATGGGGTAAATGACCGTACCCCATGGGGTAAATGGCTGGTACCCCAATGTCTACTTGGTGTGTTGGAACCCACAAGGAGAAGGCAGAAAGAGTTGATACTGGGGCTTGCAAAAGAGCCCAGCTTACAACAGAAAGAAGTTTAGACACTGGGGAAGAACAGGCCTGATGCTGTTATTGCTCCCATAAACTCCTCTGAAAGTTGCTATAATGGAACAGAAGCTGGCAGTCAGGGTTCTGTCCGCCTCGCTGGAAAGCCCTTTACCATTTTGCTAACTCCAGCTCCCAGACTGCTTCCACACCCAGGAACCAGCACCCAGGGCTCCGTTGTGCTGAAGTTCCCCTCTGTGGGATTCTGCTTGACACCATGCCCTTCTTGACCTCCTGCCTTTTCCTGGTCACACTGTGTGCTCTCTCACCAGTTTTTCCAAGGAGCACTTCCAGCACGGCTTTCTCAGGAATGCTCATGCCAGGCTCAGCTTCTGGCAACCCAGGCTAACTCAGGAGCCACATAAATGCTGCTTCTTCCACGAACATTCTCTTGATCATTCCAAAGGAATCCTGCAATAAATTGCTATAGAGATTGGGAATCCAACCATGTGAGTGCAGGCAGGAGGGTGGGCGATGTCAACTTGTTCCCCACAGCCCTGAGCTGTGTGGGGATATGGCTTCATATGCTCCTTTAATGTGACAGGGTCCTGAGTGAACCACACACATAACTCCACAGACCGTCAGCTCCTGAGTGTCTGTTTTTGCTCAGTGGAAAAGCACATTTCCTGTTGAGACTCCAGCATGCCTATGGGGCCTTGCTGCACGGAGACCGGCTGGCTGGTGTTGAGGATGGATTGATGCTAGACTAGGCTTGCTCTGGGAAATCATCAGTGAGAAGCGGGTGAGGCCAGGAGTAGAGAAGCCGCAGAAACAACCACCCGTGGCCAAAGTTTCCATTCCCTGTGCCAGCCAAAGGGAGCCGGGGTGTCCCAGAGGCATGTCTGACTCGTCTGCACTGAGAGGAGGCAGGGAGAGCGTCTTCTCAGTGTTTTCACTGGCTTGAACACGTTCCAGACATTTCTATGTTCTTCTGTCACATCATTTTTAAAAAAAAATCTTGCTATTACCGGAAGCTCAGATCCAAAGAGCCAAACAGAATCCACTGTGTGGCTATGTATTGGTGTATTGGAAGGAGGCACAGACTCAGGTGACAACAGAATGCCCAGCCCGAAATCTGGAGTGCTGTGAAGGATGTGGATATTAGAACCACATGGTATGGAAGAAAATGGCAAGTTGGGTTTGAGAATGGAAAAGATGGTACTTTTTTGTGACCATTTCCAAATAACAGAAAGGGAAGTTTTAGAGAAAAGGCAAGAGGTGAAGTGAATGGTCAGGGCAAGATTGGGCACAGCCGAGGGAGTTAAGTCTTGCAAATATTATCCACTCGAAAGGTATGGACCACACACATTTTGGCCAGCCTTGCCTTTCCTGGGGGAAGCTGTACTGCCATAAAACGAATGAAATCAGCTCTTTTTATGCTCTCATATTTTAACAAGCCTGGATGAATAGCTGAGTGGCTACATCCACAGCTGGCGATGCTCTACAGAGTGAGGCGTTCATGTCTGACCAGCTACATTCGCTTATGTATCCACCCCTTCCCCTACTTTTACAAAACATGTCTACAAGCTGAGAAGGAAAGGGCTGGAAAGGAAAGTGAGTTCTCATAGACAGATGAATGATGTCTCCTTGTAAAGGTGACAAGAACTTGTATTCCAGCCCAATGTGAAATACAGGCAGGACAACCACATGACTATGTCTTGTAGATGCTGTTGGTGCCCGCTCAGAAACCCTTTCTGGGGCTGATGCATCCACCTCCTGATAAAGGCTAAGAGTAACTTCTCCAGAGTTACACTTGGCCGGTGCATGCAACCTCACCCAGAAATGCCTAGAAGATTAAGTCCTCACTCCCAGATGGGTGGTAGACACTAGGGTCCAAAGGCCAGCTCCTGCCTCAAGGCAGGACAGCTCTGTGGTGCCATTCACACTCCATGGTCTCCTGGGATCTGCCTAAAGCTGATCTGCAGCCAAGACCACCCCTTTGCTGCCTCCTTTCCTGCCTGATCCTGTTTCTCTCGCTCCCCTTCTCTGGAGATCTCTCCAGCGAGAAATGACTTGCACAAGAATCTCTGTCTCGGGGACCCAAACCGAGACAACCTCTTCAGTTGGCTTTTGTTCTAAGTCTCCAAAGGAATGGGGCATCCCTTTGAATTGTAAAATGGATCAGAGGTGAATCCTCTAGCCTTTTAGGGATGGCCAGAGCAAGCTTTGCCTCTTAATCCCTGTAAGTCACTGCAGCCCAGAGCTGGATGACTGGGTCTAGCTCTTTCTGTCCCAAATTCCAGGCTCAGGAAAACCCTAGTCCAGGCTGTGTACCCTGGAAACTGACCTACAGCACAGAACCAAATTTGGATTAGACACCAAAAAACAATATGCACCCCCAAACTCCCACCCCAAACATCCTTGCAATCGTTAAGATGGGGTAGTATTTCCTTCCCCCAAATCTCCCTTTGAAGCTTGAAGAGGGATTCTGGAAGGGTTTTATATTTTAATAAGTTTGTTTCCCAGATGTTTTTATCACTTGGAAGGCAATGAATCTGGACAGAACCAAGCATCCTCATTGAGATGCTCTAAAGATTCGTGTTTGCAAAGTTTCTCTCCACTAATTTTGTAGCTCTGCTAGATGGAGCCAGTTTACTGCAAGAGTGCTTCTCTGCTGAAGGATTTTCAATTCTGGAGAAAGATTTTGCTCTCCTTTATCACAAGGACTAAAACTGTCTAAAAAGTTTTCCACAGGCATGATTTATTTGGGTGGGTATGGACTACAGATGGGCAAACCCAGGGTCTAAGTACTCAGATAACACAGACAGCATGTCTGCTGGGGACATGGGGGCCTGGGGGCCGAGGCTGAGCCTCACAGAGAGATACCCATCAAAAGAAGGATCTCCAGTCACAGACCCTCTCTCCCTCCATGCAGATCTATGCACCCCAGGCCCTGGGGAGCTGCCCGGAAAGAGCGTGAGCTATTTTGACTTGGAATGCGGCAAGCTAGGCCAAGGAAGTTGGAGCCAAGAGATACAGTGTCCAGCAAGCACACCCGAGAGAGAGCATTTCCCTCCAAATCAGGTCTGTGAGGAGCCAAAGAGGCAAGCAGCATAGTGGACCATCTGCAGCACGACCCTAGAAAGTCTGCCTCATTGCAGTGTTTCTGGAGTGTGGAGGGCTGAGTCATTCTCTCAGGGCAGGGGATGAGCGGGCCATTGGCTTGAGAAGTGTTTCCCTGACTTGCCCTTAGCCTAACTGATCCCCCCAACTAAGATTCTTACCCTCCAGCTCCAGTGTTCCCATTTTATGATCCATCCTCTTTCCCTAAGAAAGCACCCAGATTCTCTCCTCTTACCCACCCTCTGACATCCCATGATTGCTTCACATTTTCAGGCTATTCTACCCTTTTATCCTCAGCCTGGTCCTAAGAATGCAGAAAATAGTCAATAAAAGGTGGTTGAAGAAGCATATATATATAATCATATATAATATGATTATTATATAGTACAGTGTTAGTACTTGGTTTATTCATTCACTTCATTAAAATTTTGGAGTACAAACTCTATAACAGGTGTTGTGTTCATCAGTAAATAAACAGACAATGTTCACCTGGTTTGCTTATCTTTCTTACTCTTTTAAAAATACATCACTGAATTGTGTGGATTTTCCAAGGTATGCATTCTAGACCAACTTCCAAAGTCTTCAGGCCCTCCCACCGGCTATGTCAGAGATAAGATCTGAGATGGTGACTGCTTATGTGACCAACTCAAGGGGATGGAAATGACAGTCGTTGAGATAACTGACAAAGAAATGGCCCACACCTGTGACGCTTCCCCATCCAGCTGGTCACCTGGTCGGCTTGTGCCGATTCCTGTCACCATGGCAACGAGGCCAGGCCAACCATTTAATTCAGAGAGCTACACAACGGCCTCACAAGCAACCTCAGGGTCCAGAAATAATTCCATGCCCAGAGTCAGATATCGGCAGTCAGACATATAAAACATTATTGGAAAGATTAGAAATACCATACTCTGAACTGTTTCTAAACCCCTAGGGCTGTTGAAATCCCATCGCTATGGCTTGATAGCTCTTAAGGTATGAGAAGTACACACAGGATGCCTGGAAGGTGCTTGGTGTGCTTCCAGGGATGTGTAGATGAGGATAGGCCATATGAGAACAAACTTTGTAAATGTTAATAGTTATATAATGATCATTTTAATATTATTATAAAAATATCCATACTTATTTGGGTACAATACAATACAATAAAATTAGCTTTAAAAAGAAATATAGTTTCTGAAAGTGAGTTTAAGGAAAGCATAAAGGAAATAAAAATTCTCCAGGGAGTATGTGGGTATGGTGAACATGTAAATATGAGATGCAGGCAACTAAAGCACCAGATCGCTGGCCTCAGGAGTAAAGGGCTAAAGGTCCACAGTGAGTGGGATCCTACCACAGTATTAACTTCCCAGAATCCTCTGCTTCTAGGATGGGAAAAATGAATAATTGTAAGAACTCCCATGAACTGAGCAGGTGTGATGGGCTGGACGCTGGTGCCAATGCTATGGAAGCATTGTCCCAAATGGTCCTTCGAACACACTGGCAGCTAAGTGGAGTTGTCACCATTGTACAGATGTGGAGATTTGATTCAGAAAGGAAAATAATCTGCCCAAGGCCACAAAACTCAAGTGGCAGAGACAAATCTAAAACCCAGTTTTCTGGGACTCCAGAGCCCAGGCTTTTAAACACAATGTTGTCCTGATTACTATAAAGCAAGCATCTGGCCTATAGGATAAAGAAGAATATGCGTGACCTTGTCAAGGCCAGAAGGCACTGAAGTACTTGCAAAGTTTCCTATCAAAAGGTAGAAAACATTCAGATCTAGTGTGCAGTGAGCAACTTGCTTATCTGCCCACACCACCAGTTTTCACCTGCACCCCGCTTCAGTGTGCCTCCAGTTTGTAACAGCCAGCACCTGTGCCTTATCTTTGAAGAGGGGTGAAGAGGGGGGCCCTTGAGCACTTCTGGAAGAGCCTGGGCAATAACGACACTGCTGCCCTGCCCAGGTCCCTTAACCAATCACTGATGGAGGAAGGTGTTTGCAAGCCCAGCTCCCTTGCCCAGTGTTGGGGCATCCTGGAGGGAGAATTCACACTGAGTACCTGTGGGGTTAAGATGAAGCCTTCCTGGGCAGGGTTTTGACTGGTGTGATACCCTCAATTTGGTTCCTCCTCTTCCTCTTTCCTCTCCCACTCCTTTACCAGCATGTCCTTAGTGATTTGCAGACAAGTCCTTCTCTTGAAAGCACTTTTGGGGAGCCCATCCTCATTGGGAACAGAGGAGGGGCAGGGGTGTCTGACACATGAGCAGGTGGGTAGAGGAGGTGTGGGGGGTGCCAGAATGTGATGGCAGTGCCACTCAGTGCCTGGGTGACAGGGCCTGGAAAGGCCTAAGCCAGGGTGACTGGAAGCTCAGGTCACCTTTGTCCGAGGACAAGGGTTGGTCATTTCTGCCCTGAGGTCATTGTGCTAAGGAGCATGGAAGACAGATGACACTTCTGTTCAATCAACTCAGGAACACAGCAGACAACACAGATAGGTGCTGGGATGTCGAAAGCATGTCGAAAGAACCATCTTTGAAGAGGTTAATTACAGACTAGACAGCTAACAAGGAAGGAGGATTCAATGTGCAGGAAACACAATGAGCAGGAGGAACCGGAATGAGAAGCATACTCAGAGGACAGGGAGGGGTGCAAAGCCCTTCCCCTCTCTGGACAACTCCTGTGAGCTCAGGTGAGGGACCTGGGGGAAGAAGGTTGGTGCTGCTATCCCTGGCATCTAAATGCAAGGATGGCAGTGAGGACCCCTCCCCTCCAAGGAATGAAAGGTGGGAAAGGAGGAAAAGGCAAAGTTGAGTTTTGTGACGGTTCCATATTTTAAAATATGAATAAAGTACTTTCTGCTCACTGAGAAGAAACAGAGAAACAATCAGAGATTAGAAAGTGGCAGTGGTACAGATTGCCATGATGGAGGAGCAGGGAGAAAGACCTGTTTGCTGCAAGCCAGTCATTCATTCCATGTAAGGGCTACAGATGCATATTTTTAAAACCTTCAAGGGATGGCAAAGAGCAAGGATGGGGGATATAAGTCCCCATTTGCCCCCTAGGCAGTTCTCCAGGATTTTGTATGTGTGTACCAACAGCACATGAAATCCCACATCCCTCAGGAAGGTGGGTCTGAGGTGTGGAACTACCAAACTGAGGAATGGTGTTCATTTTTAACACTAGAGTGTCTTTGGCAAAATCTTCACCCTAACATCCCAGTCTTAATAATAGCTCTCACTGTATCAATTACTGAGTCATAATTATTGTCTTTTAGCAGACATCCAGGTCAGGATTTTTCAGTAGTTCAAATACCACTGCACCTAAAGCTGCTATTTAAGGTGGTTAATGATACACATGGTAACTTGGGAGACTCCTGGGCATCCCTCTCTCCAGAAAGTCAGGGGATTCGGTAACAAAGGAGGCCAGTGGGATTCTTGGGTGCTGACTGCCTCTCTCAGCTTTCTGGATGAAGTGTATGGTAGGAGACATTTTTCAACTGCCAGATTCTTCATGAGCCTGAGAGAGTTTCTGTTTTGGGAAAGTAAACCAGGAGCCATTTTTTCAATTCCTTAGGGGCCATGGGCTGTGCATCGGAGGGATGCTACCCCTGGGCTCAAGATTGGTTTCCATCTCATTGCCATCCAGAGTGAGAGATGGGAGGACATGTGGCCTTGGATCAAAAGGACAATTTGAATGAACTGGCAACAGTTCTGATGGCCAATCTGGCCAACATCGAGTGACAAGGAAGATCTGTGGGATCCAGGGGAGTATTTGGAAGTTTACAAACATAGAGACAGGTGAGCAATTCAGGATCCCCCCAACTACATACACAAAGGACACAAACTTTCCACATTCCCAAAGACAGTTTCTATTTCCTCCTATTTCCTCCTACCCAGAGCCTCTAAATCTAGTGCTGGATTCAGAAAGAAAATGCGGCAACATTCAACTCCATTATTCAGAACAGTGAAGGACGGCACATTCCAGAGGGAGAGGCACACACCATATGTTAACATATGGGCCATCAATTAAAAAGGCCACTTAATATACTGTACACTTAGTACTCACTTTTTCCCGAACATATATAATTTGTCTTTGATGTTCTAAAGACAATTCAGGACCCACAGATCCTCAGGAGGAGCCACTAGGAAGCTCTCAGCAACGGTTAAAATTCTCCTGATCAGCCCCTCTGTGCCCCCAAATTGTAGTTCCTGGCTGGTCATATACTGGAATGTCCCAAAGGCCCTTGAGCTCATTTGAGAAAGTAAATTGGGAAACAAATCCCTAAAAGAGAGAAATATGAAAATGTTTAGAATAGTGTTTATCAAATTGCAGGCATTTAGTAAATGTAAATTGTGAACCAAGAACAAATGATTCATCAACTATAAACAAAGCCGACTTCAAATATATTACTATGATGTTTATATTTCTGAGTCATGTGCTGCTTTAACCTGCAATGTTAATTAAAATAAAATAACACACAATAAAATGAGATGCTTGCCATTAAAACCTGTGATCTGAACTCAGGATTCTAAGACATGAAAACCCACATACACTGAGAATATAAAAACCTCATATAGCCAATGAGTCAATTATACCTACAAGCGGTTTGAGATAATCCCTGTGATAGGGATTGAGAGTCTAGTAATTCTCCATATTATCATGGGACAAAGCCCCCTTCTCTTGAGAAATTATAGGCAGTAGGAGTTTTGAATGTATAGATGGAATTAGGCTAGGTGACTTCCCCAGAAATTCCAAGGGCGGCTTTCCTTTCCTGAGTGCGTTAAAGGAAAAAAGCAAAGAAGATGTATGCGGGTTTGTGCTCTGTGACTGATCTCAGTAAATACAACTTAAATAATCCACAGGTTGAACATCCCTAATCCGAAAATCCCCAATCCCAACTGCTCCAAAATCTGACTTTGGAGCAGTGACATAATGCCACACTGGTGGGGCTGAGATAGTGAAACTTTTGCTTGCTCATTGTTCGACGTACACTAACTTTATTTCATGCACAAAATTATTAAAATATTGTATAAAATTACCCTCAGGGCCAGTGTATAAGGTGTATATAAAATGTAATTAAATTATGTATTTAGATTGGGTCCCACCCCCAAGATATCTCATTATGTATACGCAAATATTTCAAAATCAAAAAAAAATCTGAAACACTTCTAGTCCCACGTATTTCAGATAAGGGATGCTCAACCTGTACTTGTGCCCACCGTTAACTAGGTTGAAATGTAATTTGGCCAATTTTCCAACTGAAGCATCTCCTGGTGGTAATAGTAATGGAGAGTCGAGAGTCCCAGCGTGTTTTATCCCTCTAGAAGGTTGTTAGGCTGGATGGAGGTGGGCTCTCATTCTCATTTC